TACCACCTCTTGACAGACAATTTTCTCCTGCAGAACAATGCCCAGCGCCTTGGGGCCTCCCAGTCTACCCACTCGCTCACCACCCCAGTGGTTTCCGTGGCAACACCGAGTTTACTCAGCCAGGGCCTCCCCTTCTCTTCCATGCCCACCACCTACAACACAGGTGAGTGTTCAGGTGGCCTGAGCTGTGTGCACATGGCCTTGGGACGGGAGGGGCCAGAGAGGGGACATGAGATATTCTCTGGGGACACCCTAATCGGAGGAAGGCCATTGATTTGGGAGAGCCCTACGTAATTAAGGTTGCCAGATTTAGCCAATAGAAACATACAATGCCTAGTTACATTTGAATTTCAGGTAAAACAATGAATAATTTTTTAGTATGTCTCTCAGACATTCTTCTGTAAAATATGTCCCGAGATATACTTACGCTAAAAAAAGTATTCATTATTTTGTCTGAAATTCAGATTTAACTGGGTATTCCTTATTTTTTAAATTTTTTTGTTCATCCTCACCCAAGGATATTTTTTCCATTGATTTTTAGAAAGACTGGAAGGGAGGGAGAGAGGGGGAGAGAGACAGAAACCGAGACATCAATGTGAGAAAGACACATCGATTGGTTGCCTCCCAAACGCACCCTGACCAGGACCAGGATTGAACCTGTAACCCTTCAAAGCTTGGGCCAATGCTCTAACACTGAGCCACACCCTTTTTTTAAATATAAGACCTAATGGAGAAGGGAAGCCCTGTCCTTAGGGAGCCTCCCATTAGGAGAAGCCAGTACAGGGGTGAGCAGATGATTCAGGCCACCAGGGTTGGGGAGGAGGGAGGCAGACATGGTCAGTTCAGTGAGGCTTCTTAGAGGAGAAGAATGAAGGAATGAGGGAGAGAAGAGAGAGAGGCTGAGCCGGCCAGAGTGAAGGATTCATCCAGGTTCCGGGGAAGGCTGCTGGAACTGCCTTGGTGGTGGAGTCTTAAGGGGGCAAGGAGGAGGAGGACTGAGAAAGGTTGAGGAGAGAGATCTGAAGACGTGAGGGAGGCCTCTAGGAAGAAGAATTCAGACAGGACATTCAGTGCCCAGGCGGCTCCTAGGTACCCAGAGCTGTCCTGGCCTGTGTCACCCACTCACATTCTCCCGGGAACAGTCTGTGACACTCCTAGCCTTCCTGGCCTGCACTACAAGCTGCAGTGTCGTGTCGGGGAGACTGCCCAGAGGGAAATGCCATGTCACTTTGTCTCAGAGCATGTGTGTGGCTGGGAACCTGGTCTGTTTCCCTGCTGTTCCCCAGGTTCTTTGACCTGCGAGTGGCTTGTGTTGGGGCTGTTTTATGATGAGGTCAGACTAGATCAAAAGACCCTTCAACTTCACTCCCCTCTCCAAGCCCCCATTCCAGAGTTGAAGCACCCTAGGTCCCAGACATCAGTATAAATACCCACGAAATCTCACCTCTTCCCCGTGTGTATAAATCCAGAACCGGCCCTGTATGTAGGGAAGCCCCTGGGGGTGGCTAGGACAGCTGTTGCGGAACCAGACTCTGGCATGGTACCTGTGTCCAGATTTTATCATCCAGGTGTCGTACAGCCCCTGTTCCCATGTGTCCTCCCATGCATGCACACACTCTCAGCTTGTTATGTCCTCGGGCGGTTTCAGAGGGGACTGCTCCAGATGGCCGAATCCCTGGGGCCAATCTCTTCATCTGTGAGAGTTGTGAGTGGACAGGAGGTCTCTGGGGCTCGTCCAGCCCTGCCAGTTGGGGCTGGGCCTGGCTAGAAAAACCAGTTGCCTGAGGACAGCCAAGGGTGGTTGGCAGAGGGCAGCACAGAACACTTTTCAGGAGCTGTTGTTTTTTTTGGAATCCCAGGGAGGTGATTTTCTGCCATCTTCTTGGGTCTCCTGTCACTCTGTGAAGAAGGAGGGAGGTTAGAGGGTGTCAGTGACCTGGGGCAGGTGCTCAGCAGGCCAGACTTTTGTCACTGTGGTGAGAGAAGATGCTGATGCTGGGACTGCCCTTGGAGCCCTGTGAGAGGTGTGTGGCCTTCCTCCCATCCTCTCGGCAGCCAGGGCTCCAGTTCCTCTGGCTGCAGGAGTAGTTCCAACAGCAGAGAGTTCAGGTGACTCTAGATACATAAATAAAACCCTCACGAACACATTGCTGTTTAGTTGTTTACTGTACAGTCCTAGTCCCCAGTTCAGGTTCCGGCTGGGGGTGATCTGACTATGGTAATGTCTTCGTAAGGGACAGGCCTGGCCCCTGTTAACCCTGGCTGCAGAGGTCTGGCTTGTGGACATGCCAGGAGCAGGCCCAGTGGGCTGCCAGGTGACCTGCAGGCCACGTTCCTCTTACTTAGGAAGAGCAATGCCTCTTGGAGAGCCAAGTCTCCGGGTAGATGGGCTGGAGTGTGCTGGGAAAGTGAGGGACTAGGAGTTGAGTCTCAACCATTCACTCGCTGAGGGGCGTTGGGCAGGTGATGCGCTTTTCTGTGCTTGGCTTCCTTGTTTATATAATGAGTGTTTGAAATAGTCGGTCCTAGGGGCCCCTTTTTGCCCTTGCTCTGCTTTTTAAATGTAAGCATCTCAGAGCTCCCAGCTCACGTTAATGAGGCCAGAGGCAAGCATGGACCATCTCTCTGGGGTGAGATTTAAAAGTAATAAAGAGGCTCTGCCATTGGCTCTCTCTGTGACCTGGGGCGTTCCTCAGATGTGAGGGTGCAGTTGCCTCCTTTGTAAATTAATAACAATAAGTAAATCTTTTGAATATTTACTCTGTGCCAGACCCTGTTCTACATGCTTCATGTGTGTTTTGTTGTTTTGTTACTTTTCACCGGAGAATATTTTTTCCATTGATTTTTAGAGAGACTGGAAGGGGGGAGAGAGAAGAGAGAGAGAGAGAGAGACAGAGTCATCAATGGGAGAGAGACACATCGATTGGTTGCCTCCTGAACACAACCCAGTCAGGGCTGGGGATTGAACCTGCAACCCAGGTACGTCCCTTTGACGGGGAATAAAACCCACAGCCCTTCGGTGCTTGGGCTGACGCTCTAACCACTGGCACACCACTCAGGGCGTGCTTCCCTGTGTATTAACTCAGACCTCACAACAGCTGTGTGGTATAGGCAGGATTATTGCCTCCAGTTTATGGAGCGTAAGTAGCTTGCCCAAGGTCACATGACCTATAATGGAGGTAGCCCGGAAGTTTGACCTCATCGCTCATGCCTGTAACCTTATTGTTATGTTGCACAGATAATGCTGTCTTCTGGAGCGGATGGCCCCTGAGTAAGAGCTTGGTGATACAGTGCTGCTGTGATGGGAGGAGGGGCGCGCGTGTCCTCCTCCTACCACAGTGCAGTCACCTTACGCTCCTTAGGGAAGACATTTTCTAAACTGTTCCAAACAGGATGCAACATGAAACATTACAGTGCTGTGTAAATTGTGAAACATCTATGGCTCTGTTTGTTCTGTGACAGTGCAAATATCACAGTTTCTTTATTGAGACGGAAATTTTAGAAAAGAACAAGCAACATCTCCTGGGGAAATTGGTTAGCACCTTGGCCTGCTGTGCTGCACAACTGTTTCCCTCCCTGCCCCTCTGCTCTCGCGGGCTCTTCTGGGTGGCAGGCACGCGCCCTCCGTGTTTATGTGGGGGCCCAGCAGCTCAAATCTGGCTGCTGCTTACGTGTTGACCGTCTCCAGCAGACTCTGGACTTTGCAGAAGGTGGAATGGCCGCTAACAGTAATTCGTTTCGGATGCGCTGTTCACCTGGTGTTTCCACGCCTCCCCTCTGTCTCTAAAAGGCACTTAAAGACTTGGCAGCTGAAGAGATGACAGACATATATTAGACCATCCCTGATTTCTTACCCCTCTTCTTCTTAATTGACATTCTAAAAGTGATACCTACACACAGTGAACTTTTTAAAAAGTTAAACACTATTTAAGAAACCACCTCTTGCCCTCCCAGTGTGGCTCAGTGGCTGAGCATCAGCCCATGCACCAAGAGGTCCCTGGTTCAATTCCTGGTCAGGCACATGCCGGCTTGCCGCTTGATCCCCAGGAGGGGGCATGCAGGAGGCAGCCGATCTGTTTCTCTCTCTCTCTCTCCGCCTTCTCACTCTCCCTTTCTCACTAAAAATCAATAAAAACATATTATAAAAAGAAAGAAACCACCTCTTTTCATCCTGTTAAAAAACAGCACCTTATGGTCATTACAATTTGCATCTTTTGAACTAGGAGTGCCGTGCCATCTTCCTGGATTTGTGTGGGTTTTGTGATTGTTCACATCTATCGTTAACAGCTCCTTCCCTCTCCATGTTCCCCCCGGAGGTGCCCCCAGTCTGAGTCCTCTCCCTCCCACTGAGGCTCATCCTCCCTTTCCCCACCCGTGCAGATTACCAGTTGACCAGTGCGGAGCTGTCCTCCTTACCAGCCTTCAGTTCACCTGGGGGGCTGTCACTAGGCAATGTCACCGCCTGGCAGCAGCCACCACAGCCCCAGCAGCCGCCCCAGCCGCAGCCTCCGCAGCCTCAGCCCCAGCCGCAGCCCCAGCCGCAGCCGCAGCCACAGCAGCAGCAGCAGCCACAGCAGCAGCAGCCCCATCTGGTCCCTGTGTCTCTCAGCAACCTGATGTGAGTCCCTGGGGATCCGTGCATGTGTTTGCAAAGGGAGGGTTGAGGGTGGGGAAGAGGAGGGATCCCTTTAAGGTTGTCTGTCATCAGTGGACAGCATATGAGGCACCAGATGGCAGTCCTGATATCCCAGGCACAGGCCTGGGAGACCTACCCTGAGCCCCTCCCCCAGCCAGCCGGGGGTGGGGGTGGGGACCCCGCACTGTAGAAGATGACATGAGATAGAAAGAGAACTAATCTGACTTCTTTTCCTTCTTTCCCTTCACTTGGCCATCTCTCTCTCCTGGTCTCTGTCTCCACCCACTTGTCTGCCTCCCCCTCACATCCCCATCCCCCATCTTCTCATTCTCTGTCCTCTCTCACTCTGTTTTGTCACCGCCCATCACTTTTTTTGTCACTCACCTTCTCTCCTCTGTTTCTGTCCCCTGTCCCCTGTCCCCACCCCCTTCGCCTGTTACCAGCCCTGGCAGCCCCCTGCCCCACGTGGGTGCTGCCCTCACGGTCACCACCCACCCCCACATCAGCATCAAGTCGGAACCTGTGTCCCCAAGCCGCGAACGCAGCCCTGCGCCTCCCCCTCCAGCTGTGTTCCCGCCTACCCGCCCTGAGCCTGGTGACAGTCTCAGCAGCCCAGCTGGGGGCTCCTATGAGACGGGGGACCGGGATGACGGACGGGGGGACTTCGGGCCTACCCTGGGCCTACTGCGCCCAGCCCCAGAGCCTGAGGCCGAGGGCTCAGCTGTGAAGAGGATGCGGCTCGACACCTGGGTACTGTAGCATCACCCCTCCTGTCTGCCAGTGTCTGCTACACCCAGGGACTGCCCCGTGTGCCCCCCACCTGTTTTATCCCCTACCTGAGAGGCCTTGTGGCCAGCTAGCCCTTCCATCAGCCCTTTTGGGGCAGCACCATGCCCTTTTACCCCCACCAAAGGCCCATCTCCTACCCTTCCTCCAGCATCAGTCCTTCTGCTCGATAGCATCCTCCCCTCAGAGCTGGCCCTGCCGCTGAGAGTCCTGGCCCTACAGGGAGAGGGGCGTGGGGGACACATGCCCTGTAGCCTGGGCCACCCCTCACACCCCCTTCTCCATCTCCTCTCTTCACAGACATTAAAGTGACGATCCCCACTCCCCTCCTCTCAGCCTCCCTGATGAAGAGTTGACAATCTCACCGCCCACCCCCTGTCCTGGGCTCCTCCCGCTTGACCCCCACTTCCTTTCTTGTGCTCCGTGTCCTGTTGACGGTTACATTTGTGTATAATTATTATTATGTTATTATTAATATTATTATTTTTTTTAATTTGGATTCTCACTTTGGAGAGGGGGATGCTCCCATCCCCTTTCTGCACCCCCTGCCATTTTCACTGGCCGCGGGAGCTCTTTTTGCGGGAAGGGGAACACTTTGCACGTTGTACACATATGCTGCAGGAGGGGGGGGGGCCAGGGGGCCTTTGGGAAAGGACAGGTGCCGAGCCCTGCATGCGGACCCTCCCACCCCGTCCCCCAGATAGTGGGAAATAACCAAAAAAACTACCAAACAACAAAACCCTTACAATAGACTGAAACCCCAAAGTTGGCTTGACGGTGGGTTTGTGTTTCAGGGGAAAGCGAGGAAGAGGCTCTGTGAAGGGTTTCTGCCTTTGGGCTGTTCCTGCGGCCACAGGCATACGGGGCAGAATGCCCAGGCCTGGCCCCACTGCCCCTGCACACACACAGCACTCGCTCACTGGTTCTGTGTGAGCTGCACCTCCGAGGTGCGGGGGAGCTGGCTGAGCTTTTGGGCTGGGAAGGCTGCCTAGGAATCTGAGGCTGCGGGGAGGCTGTGAGGGAGCGCCCCGTTGAAGCACATTTGGAGAGAAAGAGCCATGAGGAGAGAGAAGGCTGAGGAGGGACAGGGCTGGGACAAGGCGTGAGTCAGCATCCCTTCCCTTTCCCAGCGTTTTCTCTAAGACACAGTGCAATAGCTCCCCAGCCCTCGGTGGACACCAGCCCAGTAAAGCTGGCCACAACGTGCAGGGAGAACTGGGGAGAGGAACTTGAGTGAGGTGACTCGGTGGGAGCGGGGTCTTGTCACTTCGGGATGCCTGAGGACGGAACCCTTGCATCCAGGGGCGAGTGTGAGTGAGGGGACTTGCTCTTCCTTGCACGTACATATTCCCAGAGGAGTGGACGTTGGGATGGGTGAGAGGATGGGAAAGGGGACTGGAGGTCTGCAGAGGCCTGCCTCCCTTCTTTCCTCCTTGGCCCTTCTCCCCGGCCCTCCTCCCAGCTCCTGCTCCTGCCCCCCCGGATCGGCTCCAGACCCCACCTCCGTGCTCTTGGCGCCCTCATTGTCTGGCTACCTCCTGCCCCACCACCCCCAGGCCGTATCCCACCTTCCCTCTTGGCTACTGTAATTGTAAATAGCAACCTTTGGAAAAGTTAGCAGTGTAACAGTCCAGGAAACTGTTTTTTTTTGTTGTTGTTGTTGTATTGATATGAAATGAGATTCTATTTTTGTCAAAGTATATTGTAATAATAATGACTCAAACGCCCGTACTGTACAGATGAGGTTCTTCTGCTGTTGTTCTTGCTCCCCTCCTCCAGCCCCCAGTCTGCCTCTCTCTGCGCCTCCCCAGGTCCTGAGACCTCAGGCTGGATGACAGGTCAAACTGGAGGGGGCAGGCCCCACGCCCGTGATCCACACCACCCCTCACCCTAACGTGCGTGGGCAGGCAGACTCCTTCACATAAGCCCAGCTCCTCTGCCCAAGGGGTGTAGCACTCCCTTGGGGTTTCATCCTGGTGGGAAAGCAGAGTAGACAAGGCCCAGTTTGTGCCAGGTGACTATCTTTGCCCACCTGTAGGACCCAGCCACTTGCAGTATTCCAACACGAGGCAGGGAAGGAACCAGAAGCAGAGGGGGACATGTGGCTGCACATGTACCTGAGTGTATTCCCAAGGGCATCTAGTGTTTGTATGTCCAAGTATTCCTTTGTATTTATGTGTGTGTGTGGTTGTGTGGGTCTCCTAGCCTGTCTGGGCATATACAGGAATCTTTGTGCGAAGTAAGCTCTGAGGGCATCTGTGCGTGCGTGTGTGTGAGCACGTGCCTGGGTATGTGTTTACAGAGGGACAGGTGGCTGTTGCAGCCACATAGCCCTGGCTTCCAGCTCCGTGACCCTCCTCCCTGAGCCCCGCTCCCTCTGGCCTGCTCCTTCACCTGTTCTCACCCTCGGCTCTGATATTTTTGTCCTCCCGTCAGAAAGGATCTAGCAGTTGGCCCTCCTGGCCGCCCTGCCTCTCCCAGGCTCCACGCACAGTTGTCTGCCCAGTACCCACACCTTTATAGCCCCTTCCCTGGAGTACACTCTTTCCTTGCCCCAGTCCTTTCAGGGTGACCCTCAAGCTCCTCTTCCTCCCTGAAGCTTTTTCCTCACCTGATGGTGAACCATCGTCCTCACACCTTAACCCCACCTGCTGGCTGGGCACACAGCATGGCCAGTCTTCCTGCAGGTTCCTAGAGGGAGTTTCAAGAATAGATGAGACTTGATCAGGGCCATGAAAGAGGAGGATGTGGTCTCGTGTGGGTGTGCATTCCCAGAGCCTTGCCCAGTGCCTGGCACTCAGTAAATGCTGAACGAGTGAACGGTGAATGAATGATCGGTGCTCAATCAACATTGAACGACTGGCCATCCCTTCTCAGGCTGTTCCCGCCATGAGTCTGTCCACCTTTCTAAGCTGAGGTTGGCCACCATTAAACATGGGGTGGGGGTGAGGGCCCCTGCAGTTCACGGTGCAATATTTACCAGTTTTGCCCTCTGCTTTGTAATGGCAAACCTGGCTTTTGATTACCATGTGTGGATGTGTGTGTGTCCTTTCTTCTCTATCCCTGGGGGCAGGGGGTGATTTGTGAATAAATGTGTGACATTTCTGCAATTCAGTATCCCAAGAGTTCTCTTGGGGGTAGGGGCTCCTGGCCGGCCAGAAGAAGGGTCCCTGGGAACCCAAACCTCAAGTGCAGACTTCATTTTTCCCTCCTCTCACAAGCCAAATTTGCCTCCACCCACTCCTTCCTCTGAATAACTGGGCATTTGCCAAAGTAATCACTGGAGTCATCCAATGCTCCTCCCCTCCCCAGGTTTCCCACAGCTTTCAGGGACAGTGGGCAAGAGGGCCCCCCACCCACCCCAGTGGAACACCATTTCCTCTTTCCCCGTAGTGCACTCAATACAGCGAGACTGACCCCTGACCCTCACCCAGCCCTCCCCACCTTGGACAGGAAGGAAGTAATGCACCTTCTCTTGCTGATTATTTATTTGTTTGGAGAGACAGAAATGATGTAAAAGTGTATCTAGAAATATCTATATCTATATATTTTTAACTGACTCTTTGGAATCCCCTGGGGTGGGGCGGGGCATGGATTTGGGCTTTCATGGAGGGGAGGAGACACGGAGCCTGGGAACTCCTCTGTTCTTCCCTCTGCCACCTCTCTCCACCCTCTAACCAGTTGGTAGAAGGAACGGGATTTGTATTGGGGGAGGGGCGCTGGAATGTTATATGGAGAATCTGGATTCTCTCTGTCTTCCCCATTCAAGTCCCAGAGGGAGGAAGGGGACAGGGCACGGAGGTGCCTCACCCCCAAACCCGACAATCACCCACACTCCTGGGGCTCCTCCTGGGTCCTGGGCAGGGCGAGTCCAAGTGTGTGGCTGTTGATTTGTTTTCAATATTTCTTTTCGTGCTGTATGGTGATGCTTTCTTAGTATTCTACACAATAAGAAAGACAAAGTCCTCGAGATTCTTATGAGTTTTGTTTGAAAACTCTTTCACTATATTTGTTGTAAAGAGGTTTACTATTAAAAGAAAAAGAATACACGTTTCTGATACTTTGGCTTGGGTTCTGGTTTCTCTGGGGCGGTGGGCTGAGGAGGGAAGGAGGGGCGGTAGCCTTCAGGGCGGGCACTTTCAGGTGGCTGTCGTGGGGTTCCAGATGAGAATTTCTCCCAGGTACTCTGTCAGAAGCAGAGGCAGCCCCAGAACTAGGGAGGGTTGCCCTGTTAGGAGTCACAGGAGGGGTCGTGGGATATAAGAGAAGAAGTTCCACTCAAGGCCTGGTCAGGAGCAGGATGGTGTGCAGTGAGGGAGCCGCACGTAGAGAATCTTCGACGACTGAGAACTGTCCCATGGCAGGAACTTGCCCGGGCGCTAGGTTAGGCACAGATGAAGTCCACCTTCACAGGGGTCCCACGGAGCTCACGCCAGTAGGGGCATCTGCCCTTCCCCTCCCTTTTGAAGCACCTAACAGTGCCAGGGTGCCTCACCCTACCCTCCTCACAGATCCCAGAGGGCCTCCCACCTGGTGCCCTTAGGGGCAGGTGACTCTCAATCCCGCCTCCCCACACCCTGCCCAGCTATGCTTTGGGCTGATGCAGGGGCTATGGAGGGAAGTGCGCAAGGCTTGGCTAACACATTTGGCCACTCCTCTGTACGAGGCCCATGCTAGGTGCTGCAGAGGCAAAGATGGAGTGTGAGAGGCCAATATACAGTGAGAGAGGTAGGCTTACAGATGCCTAAAATCCACACTGCACAGTCAATGCTTTGGTTGCGGCCTATGCAGGTTGGTGCAAGAGCACATGGAGTGAGGCAAACTGCAGAATGTCTTTGTGCCTTGAGTTTCCTCATCTGCACACTGCGGTGATCTGCCTCCCTCCCAGGGTCATGGCAAACTTCAACTGGCTTCTCCCTCAGCTGGAGCAGAGCTGACAGACAGCTGAGCAGAAGGTGCTTAGGAAGACACCTGTGGTGGCAGCCTCCAAGGTGACATCCAATGACCTCAATGCGGTACTCATACCCTTGTGTGGTCCTCTCACATTGAATCATGGTTGGTATGTGTGTCCAATAAAACTTCCAAAATAAAGCTGGTATATGGTTCTCCAAGTGCTTTTCCTGTCATGGAAACTATGGAAGCACATCAGAGCAGCCTGGAAGGCTAAGCTGCCTCAAGGTGTCCAGCACACAGGGGACTGTGTGAATAGAAAACGTCTTAAGCCACAGAGGTTTTGGTGTTGTGCCTGCAATAGAACCTACCCTATCCTGACTAATGGATTATCCATTCGCACTTGGACAACCTTGAAGCCCCATCTACTGATAACCCTGTGGTGAGGTACAGATCTTTGGACTTGACGATAGTCCAGAACTCGTTCGGCTCCTAGTTCTGCCACTTAACAGCTGTGTGGCCCCGAGGATCATGATCTCCCCAAGCTGCTGTTTCATTGACTGTAAGCAGAGCTAGTAGCTGCCTGTTTTCTCTGATCCCTGCCTCCCCCTTCTCCAATCCACCCTCCTGTCTTTGGCACAGTTCTGATCATCTAGCACCTCAGGGTTCTCCACTGCTCACCATACCACGTGAAATCCCAACGCCTCAGCCTGGCTCCCAGGGCCGTCAAAGAACCAATATAACCTCTTTTCCAGGCTTAGTCCACACATCCCTGCGGCACAGCCCTTGGACTCTGGACTGGCCAGGCAGCCCAGTCCATTCCTGGATAGATCCTTTGTATCTTTGTTCATGTCATTCTTCTGTCTGAAATGCAACAAACGTGCATTAAGCACGTACTCTGTGAAATCCTTTGTTAGGCACTGGGGATATAGAGAGGAGCCAGGCAGCTCCTGCCTTTCAGCAACTCACAGTCTAGTGGGGACAAGAGCCAAGAAGTCTTGAGTCAGAAGTCTGTGTTCAGTGTCATAGAACGGACACGAGCAGGCCGTGGGGTCAGAGGTGAGACACCCAAATCCAAGCCAATGGAGATCAGGGAGTCTCCTTGGAGGTGTTTGAGCTGAATTTTGAAGACATGGAGTATCCTAGGCAAATGAGGGCAGGGAAGGCATTCCCAATAGCAGGAATAGCAAGTAAGATAGGGAGAAAGAATGGTGCATTCAGGAAATCCAATACTGTGGTGCAGGTTAAAGGAACAGAAGATAAAGCTGAAGAGGTAGCAGAAACCTCACTGTGAAGGGCCTTGATTGCCATAATCTGGACTTTATTCTGCAGAAGATGTTTGGTCATCAAAGGATTTTAAGGAGAGGATGGACGTGATCATATTTGCACTTCAGAAAGCTCCTGCCCGTACACGTTCTCTCTTGGTGCTGCAGAGAACCAGTTGGGAGGAATGCAAAATTGAGGCCCAGTCAGGGTCCTTTACAACTTGAGAGGATGAATTTAGTAGATATTTGAGAGGTAGAATTACAGGACTTGGAAACTGCCTGGTGAAGGTAGCAAAGGAAAGGGAGGAGGGTCAGTAACTCCCAAACTCGTGCTTGGAGTACTGACCGGATGGATGGTGGTGCTCCAGTGGCTCCAGACAGGGCTACCAGGTATCTCCTGAGATTTTAGACAAACTGAGTTGGAAACAAGGGAAAGCTCAGGGGTACCTTCTCGGGGGCATAAGGGGAGAAGTGGTACTTTGCTCCCCGGGGTAATTTCAGGGTTAGGGATGGTGGTGAGGGTTGTGGGAGCCTTAGGAAGATCTGGTTCTAAAGGCAAGACACGCAGTGCAACCCTGGAGGTCATTCCGTTTTCTCTTGATAAGGGAAGATGACTGGGAGATGGACCTCTCCATGCCTCAGTTGCCTCCTGTGTAAGTGGGTTGCTGTGAGATTTAAATGATACCTCTAAGTGAACTGAAAACCACTCCTGACCATCATAAGTGCTCAATCGTGTCATTTTTATTACTGCTACTTGTCAAAGACATGAAAATAAATGAGCTTACTTGGGTAAGAAGATGTCTAAAACACTGCCTTACACCCCTATTTCTATCTTTGTAAACTTTCCTGTTATTCAAGGTTTACTCCTACAACTTTCCCTCCATAAAACTTTTATTTCCCCTGTCCTACCCAGCTGGCTGTGTTCTTCTTCTCTAATGGGGTGTTAGGAATCTGCCCCTTCATAGCACCTGCCTCATTTTTCCTGAAAATGTGGGTACTAGTTTCAATTTTCTCTTTAAAATCGGTCTGAAAGCTCCTTTAAAAAAGTGCACCGCCTCATCCCTTTGTGCGTCTGGCTCAGTGCCCGGCACACAATATGTGTCAGGCTAACACGAGATAACGCATGTGAAAGTGCGCTCGGTAAACGACGGAGCGCTACGAACCTGGAGGATTTTTCCTTCCAGGGCGTGGTGACTTCCTGCAGCTTCTCTTCCACTTTCCAGCTCCAGGAGCACCGATGAGGCTGAAAACAAGTGTGGGTTCCAGTTTCCTGGGTTTCGCGATCAGCAGCCCACTGAAGGATTAGCACCCACTGGGCTCCTACTCCCCAAAGGGAGAGCTCTGGGGAGGCAGGAAGCAAAGGGTGGATTCGGATTGTTCCAGCGGAGGCGGCCAGGCCAGTTCCCTGTACCTCATGTTCTTCTGACTCACCACCCCTCAGTCCCATGGGCTGAGTAACTTTCCCAGCCTTGTGATTGTGGAAACTTGTTTCAGGAACATCTAGCCGATGTCAAAGGGGCATGAGGCGACCCCACCCCAGGCTCCAAAGCGGCGCTCCTACTGGAGCCCACACAGACTGCGTGTTTGTTTAGAGCAGGGGTCCTCAAACTACGGCCGTGGGCCACATGCAAATACAAATATTGTATTTGTTCCCATTTTGTTTTTTTACTTCAACATAAGATATGTGCAGTGTGCATAGGAATTTGTTCATAGTTTTTTTTTTTAAACTATAGTCCGGCCCTCCAACGGTCTGAGGGACAGTGAACTGGCCCCCTGTTTAAAAAGTTTGAGGACCCCTGGTTTACAGACTTAAAATGACTCTGTGTTACTGCCCAGCCAAGGCTCAGGGCTGATTCTATAACGAGACGCAGCGTCTATGTTACAGTTGGTGAACCCGAGGCCCCAAAGAGGCAGCTCTCGGGTTCCTCCCACGGCGCCTCGCGCTGTTCCTGGATAGATCTAGTTCATGTCAGCCTGGGGGCCCAGGATGAACTTCCAGGGTTAAGTGATGTGTGTTTAACACCCGTCCCCTTTGCTTTGTACTCGTTTCCACGTGTTTACAGCTCTTGGGCCTCGTTCGGGCAGTTTGGCCTCGTAAAGCGCGGCCCCTGCCTCCGCAGCGTGGCCGCCCAGAGTCACTCCTATTTACAGCGCATCCGCCGCCACGTGCCGAGGAAAAGCTGGTGACTCCACCCCGGGCCCGAAGGGGGAGGGGGGCCCCGCCTACCGGGA